ACCTTGAGGATCGCCATTGAAATGCAATATAATAAGAAATGCTTGAAGCAGTGGCTTTCTCTGTCACTGTATATAGATAGCTCCTCTTTCTTTTCTTTTTTTATTTCATTGATTGAAATTGTCCGTATTAATTTATGCGTTCCTCAACTAGTATTCTTGTCGGTCTGATCAAAAATAGATCATCAATATTAAGATTAAGTTATTTATGAAAAATAAATCTCATATAACTCTAAAAAATTACTAAATTTTAAACTCAAAACGATTAAATTTACATGCGCCGTTATTTTGGGTGTTTTGCTTCCCGCTATGATTTGAGGGGAGAAAATGTGGGGTTTCTTAAGAAGGTTCGTACTTGGGTTTACTTTACAAAAATGCCATTTGCATGATAGTACTTTAAACGAGGAATCACACTTTACACCTCCAAAATATTTAATAATTTTTATTTTGCACTGAAACTCCTAATGTATTAAAATTATGCAATTTGATCCTTTCGTTAGCTTTCGCTTCTCATTTCGCCAAAAATAACTCCATTGATGTTGACGGACTGAGCAACAAAATTTAATATAAGAGTCACATTATAACATTTTTAATATATTGAAGATGCAATATAAAAAATTTAATAATTAAGGGTATAAAGTGGGAATTAAAGTGCAATTTAACCAACTTTAAATTTCATCTTTTTTCTTTTTTAATTAATTCCTCTTCTCATAAAATAAATAATGTTTCAAAAAAGTACAATTTACCCTCTAAGTACACATATACTAAATGTCCTGGACAAACGATTAGAAGGATTTCGATCCTCACCATTAGTCTTTCCTTTTAATTTCATGTTAGATGAGTGATATGTGTAAAATTTAATTTTCAATGGATAAGATATTTTTTTATTTATTTCATTATTGAGTGTTAACCATGATTAAAGAATTTTCTCATAGAAAAAAAAATCTTGCCTATTAAAATTTAAAATTTTACACATGTCACCCATCTAGCACTGTATAAAAGGGAATTGAAGGGAAGCGAAAGTATAGGAGATCTAAACCTAAAAAGTAAGTAAGATTAAAAAGGGAGTTTAATAGTTATTTACAGAAAATTTTGGATATTATTAACATTTCATGAATTGAGACACTAAAGTGAGTTATAAATAGTTATTTAGGAAGAAAATAAAGAGCATTGTGGATATTTTAACAAATGGATACCAAACCCCTTCTCTTCTTTTATTAATAGTGTATATATATAATAAGATAGCTTACAATTTGAATTTTATCTTCTACATATTTTTCCTCTTAAAAATATCACATCACTCATTTCTATCACATGCTAATTATTTTAATATTTGATTAATTTATAGTTGAATATAATTTTTATTTCAAATATTATTCATATACGATAGTATATATATGTTGAGAAATTTTATCGAATTACGTATTTTTAAAAAATTATTATTTAATATAGTGAGATAGATTTTTTTGGACATTCGAATTTTATATTTCATCGTGTCTTCAGGCACGGGTTATAACTAGAATATATATATACTAGTCATAACCTGTTTCTGAAGGCACAATAAAATATAAAATTCGAGCATCTAAAAAATCGATCTCATTATATTAATTTTTTTCAAAATATATTAACTACAAATTAATCAAATATTAAATGATTAAATATATTATAGAAATGAGTGATGTAATATTTTTAGAGAATAAATATATAAATGATTAAACATATGATAGAAATAAGTTATGCGATTTGACGTTTGAGTCTGACAAAGGGATGATGGATGAGATAAGTGATTGATTATGATTTTGAAGAGGAAAATATGACTAGGATAAAATTTAAATACACTCCTGTTTTATTATATAGATATAATTAATTGTACTTAACTATTTTTGAGGACTTAAACTTTGTACCACAATTCTATTATTCAATAGATTTTTGTTTTTTTTTGAAAGAAAAAAAAAAGAGGAAATTCCTTCTTTTTATAAAAGGACAGTGATAATATTGCAAATACACTCAACATGTAGGGGCATTAGTCTTTAATGTAGTAGAAAAATTGTAGGAATGACACTTCTACAGTTTATACTTTATTTTCCTTTGGTTATGCTATGCTGAACTGATCTCTAGAGTGCAAGTGGGGGTGACAGGAAGATCCTTTTCTCAAAAATTCAACTTAGACTTCATTCCTTATTAGACTGGACAGAAGAAACTGGATGCTTAAGCAAGACAACATAGATACGTGCACCTCCACTATACGTATTCTAATGGAGAGAACCCTCCTTGGTCAACAGACACAATCAACGTGACATCCATTTATCTCCATTGAATCTTCTTCTCTTTCTGCACTTTATCGACACCGATGGAGACATGTATCGAATTATAAAGATACTAATGCTATATCTTCTATGGTTACTTACCAAAAGAAGAACTTTTACATCAAGTGGTGATTGAACCCGGTTTGAAGTCTTGCATTTATTAATGGTAGACCACCCTACATTAGTTCAAATAGAACTCTCTTTCGGTACATTGTTTTAATCACGAAGAAACAAAAAATGATTTGACGTGTTTTAAAAATGTTTTTACCTGTTTCAAAAACAAAATGAAAAAAAAAAGATAAAAAATTTAAAAATTATTTTTTTAAAATATTTGTTGAAATATATCAAAATATCTTAAAAATTTTGAAATATTCCGAAATAATTGTGCAAATGTATTGAAACGTTACAAAACACCTCGAAACATTATGAAATACTTCGAAATATAAGAATTTCAATTCCATTACTTATTCGTTTTGATTTTTTGGAAACAGAAATATTTCAGACAAAATTTTGATCCTTGGTCCCCTCCAACAATGCCCGATTGGTGATCTACTACCGCAAAGATTCAAGAAAAATGCACTGAAGAGTCCACCTTGCTACATTCCTGTTTCAGGGATCACAGAGTCCACGTTGTTACCATTCTCAGGACTCTAGGACTTCAAGGTATTTGGAGTGAGAGGCAGCAAGAAGAGCAGCCCCAATGCCCGAACCATCATTGGAGTGCTCAAAAACGATGCTTTGTGAGACTTCCTCTCCAAGTAGTTCGTTTAGAGTGTTCTCCAAGCACTTGCGGTATTCAGTGTAGTGCTCATACAATCCACCATCCATAGCTATCACCGTCTTCTGTGTCTCCCCATCCCTGAGAGTATCTCTACCCATTTTCTTCAGGACACCCAAGATCCCAGCAGCAGCAAGTCTGGCCCCACGTGTGGCGACAATGTTGCATAGCTCAACCACTACTCTCCTCGTTTTTAAGGAGGTATTTGATATCTGAAATAAAAGGAAAATAAGAAAGAAAAATTATGAAACAGACAAAAACTTATACGTAAAATGAAACAAGTAGTAAGTTCAGGAATATTTATTTATTTTTTTTTTTGGTACAATATGTCTTGAGTGTTATGTTCCACTGATGAAATGGAAATAAAAACAGTTTTGATTACTGACTGAAAATTGAAACCTTGCAGAAAATAAGATATACCTCTAAGATGTCCTTTAATTTTTTCCCCACCACTCTAAGATCAGATGAAGTGTCATGATGCATTGCTGACATGTCAGGCGTCCTGCATATTCAACAGCTCAGAGTTTTAACAGTTAGCAGATCCTAATCTTGGTAACTAAACTAATGTAATGTACGTATGTTGCAAAAGAAGATTGCAAAAAAATGTTTGTCAACAGATCAGATGAATTTGCAACAGCATGAGACAATTAAAAAGGTTAGAAGTTGGGCCAAAAATAGGTAATAAGAAGCCTTTAAAACAGTCTTGATCATAATAAACAATGAAATAAGCCTTTGTGGTACTTAATTTATGAGTATCAGACGTTTCTTTATCACATACCCAAAACGCTTCCAAAATTTGGAAATAATAAATATGACAAATCGATTTGCCAATACTAGTATAAGTTCGAACTCAGACATCACAATGCAAATGCTTTCACAACATTTCTGGTGTTGATAGTAGGTCAAACAAAGAAGCCATTACACATGCTAGTTCTCATGGTTTGATTAATATCATACATTCTCTGACAGATCTAGTGATCTCAATCATAATCTTCTCAGTAAATTCAGACCAGTACAGACTGCGTGTAAGGTCTTGTGGCGAACTTCATAATACAAATTGTATGTTGGACTGAATGCCAGATATCAGCCTCAAATCTCAACCCCTTACATCCTTCAACTTCAGAGCAAAATACCTCCCATCTAAATTTGTGTAATCATATAAATGTTGGGAGTCTTTCTATAAATATCGGTGGTGAATATGTCGACACTAAGATGAATTAATCCTGGACTGGAAACAATTCAATGAAGAGTATGGGAAGACAAGCAAATATGTTTTCAGTCGATCAGACTACGCTGCCCCTATCTTCCCACTTTTGTTTCCTCACTTTGCTACAAGCAGATGGCAAGAAGACTCATCCCAACACCAATACAGAGGCCAACGCATCCACAATGTCATCCTAAGAAATATATGCATTTGTAAGACAACACAACAAAAGAAGTAATTCTTAATAACACAAACATTTTTGGTACGAAACCCCATGGATAGTAATGTGGTACAAGGATCATGTTACCAGTAGGGTGTGTCTCAATCCCCACCCCACCCCAACCAAGAAAAACCGAAAAAAAAAAAAAAAAAACCCATGCTTCACATACTTATGCAAGTTTAACTTTCAGTAACAAAAATACATAGTTATGCAAGTCTAACTTCCAGTAACTAAAATAGATAGCAAGACTCCAGAATAAATTGGCCCAAAACTGAACTAGATTATCACTGTAATTGAATCTTTTTGGCAAGAAACTTGCAAGTTTCAAATTATTTATGGTTTGATCAAGGATGGATCCTTTAAAAGGCAAGACTACTTAAGGGACTCTGAAGAACAACCCCCAATGCTAATCAGCTTCAGAAAAGCAGATTAATCTTCTCGTATATTAGAGTTTAGTTATCTTCCCAGAAAGGTAAGATAGTTCAACTTCATTCTGACAAACAGCCGCCTCATTGCCATTAATTCAAAGCAACAATAAGCTGATTTTCAACCCTACAAGATACATGGATGTGCAGGGGCACCTCTGGCCCTCTTCAGAAACTCTACATAGAGCCCTTTACTCCATAAGAGAAACTTTAATATGTCTAGAATTCACACTGAAATACAAGTAAAAAACCAGGAGATCATGATTATTAAACAAGTGACATAATATATGAGCTCGACCAAACAAAAGGAATTCCTTTAGAAGGCAATGGCAACTAGGCAGTGCAAGTCTTTAAGGACTACCTCAATATGAAGGAAGTCCTTAGTTTTGGTGGAACAATGTCACCAAATAAGGCAGCTTCTTCGGCCAACTTGCATAGAACTTTGCGAACAATCTCTCCCAAATACATACCAGACGTTAACTTTTCAAATATCTGTTAAAATTCAATACAAGGATTTCAGATGTTGCACAAAATCATATTCATTTGGACAGACAAAGACAAGTGAAACCGTTTAAGCACAGATAAACAATCACCTGTTCACTGGGGTTTAAACTTTCAGCATCCAATGCATGATCATACTCTGTCAAGGGAAGATGTGATGACCTGAAATTACCCCACTCCATGTTGATAACCTACAATTTAACATAAATTAAATGGCAATTTTCATTCACACTTCCACATCTCATGCAGCTATTCCATAGAGATACCCTTAATTTATGCTTAAAACCATGACAAATGGAGTTTTGTTGTCGGTGGGTGTAGAGAGAGAGAGAGAGAGAGAGAGATTTAAAGAGAATCTACAACCACACAAACAGTGCTAACCATCTCTCCGGATTTAGGTGGAGGACCATGCCATTTTGGTATTGCTTGAGCACGTTCCACATATGCTGCATTTGTTCCAGTACCCATAATCACAGCAATAAGAACATCTTTGTTTGAGTACCTGCCTCCAGCTAGTGTTCCAATTGTATCATTGACCTAGTGCACAAACCGTTGACGAAGAACTTACAGATTGAATTTATATAAACCAAAAGAAGTACTCTATATCAGATAAATTTCTTAAAATAAAAAAAAAAAACAATTGGCAACACAAGATTGCTTTCTTCCTTGAAGTCGACAGAAATGTCAGTCATGAATAGCCAACACCACATTTACTTACCAAAGCTGACACTTGCATATCAACGCCTTGTCTTTCCATAGCTTCTGCCAGTTCTGCTACCACATCTTGACCAACCTATTCATTCAGCAATTAAGACGAAGAGGACAAATGATGGATCAGTAATGGAATACTGTATTAGTAAATAAGCATCCCAAATTCATGTGATGGCAATAGGAATTAATTGTTCCTTCAGGTGATATAAGAGGTGCAGACTGCAGACTTTTAAAATTGATGCACAGGATACACATTCTAATTTCGCTTCACATTTTCTCTGATGAAGCAACAGCTGATGCAACAAATAGTTTTTCGTCAATGATACAATCCAATATGGAAATTGAAGAAGCCTTGGATGCTAGAATTTTAGAACAGAATACATACAATTAACATAAATATAACTTAGACGTTTTATGCCAGAGCCACTAACATGGAAACTCACTGTATCAAAATTGCTTGCCATGGAGAATGATTACGTGTATAATCCTATAACAGAGAAACGAAAACACAAAGGCACTTGTAAAGCAATTTGTTATTTTCAAAGCCCAGTAAAAAATCTGCTCCTTTTTGAGGTAGACATAATTCTAAATGAATCAGTGCTAACATTCCATTCTCTGGCATGGGGCTGCCAAAGTTGCGAACCTGACCACGCTGTACTCTCACAGCCTGATCATCAACCTGTAGATACTGATGAGGGATTTTTCTCACCATAAACTGAAAAAGGAGAAACGATATACAAGTGGAGCAATTTGGGATTGACAGAGGAGCATTATGCAAATGAAATTACTTTTTGAGCCAAGAAGATCCAGAATTAAGATGTATGGTGCATAATACTCTTGATGAAGGGCACATTAAGGGCATAAATAGAGATTGACTGGCAGAGGTTAAACAGACAGGAGCATTGAAAATATTGATCCTGGATATAATAGCCAAAGCTGTAATGACAGATGGAAAGAAGACCCAAATTTTCAAGACTTACAGAAATAAAATCAGTAAGTTTTAGATACTAAAAGAATTCCTGATTCTGAATTTGACATGAAATTTTGAAATGTGGCCTTATTCAAAACAAAAACATATACTCGGTTGCTTTTATTTCAAATTTAAAATGGATCAGAAAGTAAACTTTTGATTGGAAAAATGTCAACTTTTACGCAGCAGGAGTAATTTCTTTAATTTTCTCATATATGTGTGCAAGGAGATGGTGGAAGGCCTTGAGAACCCGAGTTAAAATTCTGTAGCCAAAAGATGACTATGCACTTATAGTGAAGCTGATAGGTTGGAAATGTGTTTGAAAATAATTGTCTTGACACGATAATTCTTATTATTTGTCAACTCTTTTAAGTTTCAGCCAATAATTTAACCAAATAGAGTTTCCTACCGCATAATATAGGTACTGAATTAAGATAGATGGTTCTGTATAAAACAAGCTTTTGAGTCCAAGGAAATCCCAGCTATGTGCATCAAACCATCCCAATTGAGTACTATAGGAGTCCTTGTATGCACTAGGATACAGAATGAAACTCAAAACAATTCCAAGGAATTGTGCCAACCAACAAATATCTCAGCTGATATATTAAAATTTGAGTTTCCAGTTTCCTTCCTATTTGTTTTCAGAAACGTTCAGTTTCAAGCTTTCATGAATTGGAAAATTAATCCCACTTCATTGAAAGCAAACTATTACTTTACATTCAAAATCCATGATCCTTCTCATATTTATATCTAATGTATTCAAGGTCAGCTACACTGTGAATTGCAGTTCCAACTGATGGTTCAAACCAGCCAAAAGTTGACAAGAACGCGATTATATGCCTGCATAACAATTCCCTGTATCAAGAAGTGGATTCTTTCATGAATGATAACATGTTTAGAGAGAGATCGCATTCAGACTAATAGATTTTCCGTGATGATATAGAGAATGAAAGAGATCTGACCGGAGAAATGTAGAGTTCTATGTAGTTCAAGTTGATGATGATCTATAGCATAATCAAAGGAATAAATTAAATCAGAGAATATAAAGGGGCCCCAAGCAATCAGAAGTAACCGTGTCATCAATGGAGAATCCTTTTGTCCATCTAATTAGAGTCCCGGAAGAAATTGATGTTTGCATCACAGGGAAAGAGAAGGTGAAACCAAGTTCCCTTTGCCTACCAGGAGGAAGATGAAATTTTTGACCTTCTTGGGCAACAAATTTTGCAAGTTCTGCTGCAATATAGTCAAAAAGTGCCTGAGAACACATTAATCTTGAGCATTCAGAGATCATCCAAACAGAATGGTACAATCAGGAAGGAAGGATAATAGACTCAAGAGAACAGACACTTACATCTGAAGTCCCAACCATCAAATGAGGAGGAATTGACACCTCAGAAAATTCTTGATCAACTATACCACCATCCTTCCCTCCCAATTGTACCCGTAACACTCGGAAGTTTGTTCCACCAAGGTCCAATGCATAAAACACTCCTTCCTCGTCACTGGAAAGGGAAAAACAAAACAGATAAGATTTTCAATTGCAACCATTCTTAAATAAAGATATGTTATGAAAACAGTGAACATTCACGATATTTAAAAATCCTTCAAAATGCCTTTCTCTGTGATATATTCTTTTTGGGCACTTTGACATGACTGTTTCTTTTGAAATAGCTATTTCCTTAAATACTCTCTGCTAAGTGAATTTCTAGGAAGTAAGCATTTATTGGTGTAGAAAAAAGCAAAACCTGAAATTGATTCTGTATGTTAGAATTATATATTGGCTTCCCCTATTTCTTTTTGGCCCATATGGCTAGTTGGTGACCCATATGCCACCTGGCTGTCCCTTAGGAGCATATTTTGGCAATATATGGCTTTGGAGAATTCCCCAAACACTAATTATAACCTCATATTTCAGCACAAAGGGTAGAGAGAAAGGCTAAATTTGGTACAACCTGTTCCTAGAGGAGGAGCTTCAATTGAAGTAGGGGTGGAATCGAAGCGGAGAGATTCATTTTTAGTGGTATTTTCATCCAACCCTGTTACTACCAACCTACTGTCCTACTCATAATCACAACACGTTGACCTTTGGCCCAACAAGCGGTCTGCGACTGCGACAATCAATGTGCTTATTTGCAGTATACAATAATACAAAATATCCAGTTGTAAGCCTTATAGTGAATGAGTAACTAGATGCATATCATTAGTTGTAGTGTTGCTAATGTCAGCAGATATGGCCGCATGGATGTAATTTGTATACAAGCCCAGACCAATGTTCACAAGGCCAACAACAGATACTACATCTTTAATTTTGGCCTGAAAATAGAATATGGTATCACCCCATAAATAACTGGTAGTGCTATCAGTTATGTAGAATTATTCCTTTGAAATAAGTTGGTTGCACATATAAGCATGTGAAAAAAAGATAGGAAAAGAGAAGAGAGAGTTAGTGATAGGAATCTTTCCAAGCCTATAATAAGCAAATTGAAAACCTTTAGATACTGAGAAAAAACTGCCACCTCTGAATTATGAGAATGTCAGAAAGGGAAAAGGGCAAGCTTTATAGAACAAATTCTGACAATCAGATCACTCTTAACAAATTTAGAATTTAAGAATTATTCAGATTGGAACACTAGGAATTCTAAACAACATAGGGGCAAATGTAAGGACAAATTTGACCATAAAAACAGTGAACTTGTGATAATTCAACCCATAACCCATGCAAATTTTATTCCTTAATTTAAAAGGCCTATCCAAACAATTGTGCCGTAAAATATACAATATACACAAGTCAGTCAACAGTGAATTGGCAGCATTTGTCATTATCAAAAAATTCTCGCCACCCATTCTCCAAATGCAACAAATTCAACTTACGAAACACAATGCACATCAAGTTCATATGTCAAATATACAAATACATACTATATATCGATCGAGAGAGAGAGAGTAATTCACCCCGTGGGAAGGTTGTCAACGTAGCTGATGAGCATCTTGAGCTTGCTGCCACCTTCGGAGGCGAGACCGGCGTGCATTTCCACCGTCATTGCATCGGCCACTTGCATCAGCTTCGAAGTAGGGGTCCCACACTTCTCCTCAAATTCCTTCAGAATAGCCACAACCCGGGCCCACTTGCTAGAGCTCCGCATGCGGTGGCGCATGATCAGCACGACCGCCGCACTCACCGCCGCACCGCCTATGACCGCCGCTGACACTGCCACCTTCCCCATTATCGTATGCAATCGACAGAACTAATCAGAGACCTCAAAATAAAAAGATATCAATTTCAGTTGCGAATCACGCAATGCAAATCCTATGAATAATTTAGTTCGTAGTTGTCGATTAAGAAACCCTAAGTATGAGAGAGAGATCGAAAACGAAGTCGGAGATATGATTGGATTTGAATGTTTTGATTGTTTGTTAATCTTCGCAGGCAGAGGAGAAGAATTAGGGTGTGATTGGACTTTCTTAGCAAACGGATCTTCCGTTATATGAGCCACATCCTTCCAAATTAGCTGTCAGTTTAACCATCATTGCCATCTTACTCCATCTCAAGAATCTTCGGATCAGATTATTCCTCCCAAAACACTTTAATCAAAATATACATATTCGTCTAAACACCCCCTAACCGTTAAATCAAAAATATAAAAAATTAGATAGTAACCCGTGCCTAAAAGTAGAAAATTACCTAAGTAAAAAGTAATAATTTAAGAAAAAAAATTTAATATTTTTGAAATGAATATTAATAGCCATTAAATAAATCTATTTGACATCGTCGTCAAATGAGGTTATTAAAACTTACTTTATTTTATATTATAGATTATCAGTGTCTTACGAAAGCTTAAAATTGGGGGTTCAAAATCCACCGATTTTTTAATGACCACCACTTTATTGAATTTTAAAATCATAGATTCTAATATTTTTTTTGTTTTTTTGCTGGTTAAAAATAAAGGGGTGGGAGGCAAGGAATAGTGCCCAACGACCACCCCCGATGAACCCTCACCGATGAAATCATGAGGTCTCTGACCGCGCCTGGAACACCTCTCGAGATTAGACCTAGTTATGCTAGCATAACGGCTAACTACCAAGCTCCAATGAAAACTTCAAAACTCAAATTTTCAATCTCAAAGTGAGAAGTAAGACCGGTACTCCATTAGACCACCCTCCTTGATGGTATAGATCCTAATCTAATCATATCTTAGTACTTGACAAAAATAAACAAACGCTACATCGTTCATTCCACATACAATTCATTCCACATACATGGGGGCTTAGAAGACAAGTTAATGTGCATGTGATATAGACGGGTCAACCATCGCATCATCAATAAGTCTAGTTATTAGGGAAGTGAGATTCATTTCTCTTTCAATTTCTTTAGACTTGTTTACCACAAAAAAAAATTAATATCATACCAATTTATTATATTTATGAGTATTTTTATGGTTATTATGATAGTAAAAAAAATAATAAAAATAATTATCACAACAATTATACAATAATTTATAATTTTTTTGTACCAAAAAAAAATATGGACAAGTCTCTGAACCCCAGAAAAAAAGAGTATGCGCAAGTATATTATACCAAAATAATAAAAAAAAAAAAAAGGGCAACGTACCATTATTTCACTTTTTGTAGATATTTTTATTATTTTGTGAATATTCTTAATTTCTTATCACTTTTATGGTAATTGTAATCGATCTCAAAAATGTTATCAATTGATCACAGATACCACAAAAATAATAAAAACAACTACCACAAATATGATAAAAATACTCAAAAAAATTATAAATTACCAACAAAAGTTATAATATTTTTTTGTTATAAAATAATCCACAAAAATTATAAAACACTTATTTTTTAATTAAAATTTAAAAGAACGGTATAATTTTTTTTTTTTTGGGTATCATAGTCAAGTCCTAGATGTATAGAACAGGTATACATCTCCGTCCAATCTGACCAGGTGGACCAACAACTTACCAGCCACATGAACCATATGAGATGTCAACACCTTGACTTCTCAATTACAACAGCCATGGAAATCAATCCTATGCAATAAGCGGAAGCACACATCACAGAATATTTGGTCAGTCCACCAAACATCATACAAAGATATTCACCTCTTGATATATCCACCACTAACTCACATCATAAGAAAACTGATTTTGAAGAGAGAGAGAGAGAGAGAGAGGGCTGATAATATGTAATTTCAATGATTCAAGAAGTCAAGAGTAAGTTAATTTATGGTACAAAGATGTTGAGGCACAAGCCTGAGTCAACACAACCACTCCACACTCAACCATGGATTCAGATCCAAGTATTCAACCCTACTGATGTATAATTAATTAATACCCCCACCCAAATCATTAAAAAAAAAAAAAAAAAATCCCACAACCTCCAAGAAAAGAGACCACCAACCCAATGATACTGACTGCCTAGTCTAGAAGATTGGAAGAAGGAAACTACTGCCGCATCCCCGCATGACACCATATTTAAAAAAAATATATAAACACAGAAAGATAAAACCCCACAGAGCTCTCCCAATGCCCACCCCTTCATTTCCCAGCCGCAACATGAACTAAAGAACATTCCTGGAGAATAAGAAAGAAATGAAAGCCAGCAATTAACAAAGTACTTACCGGAACTGCTGGCTTTCTGTCTCTCTCTCTGGTCCAACATGACAACTTTCAAGGCTTCAACTTCTGATCTTTCACGCCATCGATGTAAGACTCAACCTGCTATAGAAAAAGAGGCACAAAAAAAAAAAAAAAAAAAAGGGCAGTATAAAGACAAAAATGGCATGAAAATTTCCAGGACACAATATTCACAATTTCTGTGGACCTGCCTTATCACTGTCTTCTGCACAGGGTCTGTGTCAATTCCAACCCTAGACTTCAGCGCCATTCCAAGTGCAGCATTTGCCTACGTGCAACAAAAGCCATCAAAATAGTACTACACAATTTAATGACTTCTAAATTTTAGACTAAAGGTCCTTTTCTGTTGCTGACAATGACTATTTCGTATACATGACACCAAAAATCCCAATTCAAGCAAAGCAGAAAGTAAACAAGGAGAGTAAGTAAAGTGGAACAAAAAGTAAACTGGAAAGCATAAACGAAGCAAATTAGGGGGAAGAAAGAACTCAAATCTGAAACCTCTAACTCTTCCTGCAATCCATCTTTGAAGTCTTTGCCGTCCTTGTCATGTCCATTATCTGGTAGCAGCTCAGAATCAGCCTCACATGAATCGCCCTGTGAAGATCCCTGGTTGTTACTGCCTACAGAGCTGCCTGGGTTCCCCTCTGTGTTACCTGTCAGCGACTCAAGTCCAAAATCCTCGAAGGAACTGACTTCACCTGTAAGGTTTGTGAGAACACTGGAAGTTGAGACGCATCCAGTATCAGTATTTTCCGCGCATAGCATCCGTTGAACAGGTTTAGCTGACTCCACATTGACCTCATCACATTCAACCTTTGGCACCTCCTTCCTGATAGTAGGTTGAGTCATCGTATTCTCCAAGACATTCACAACCACATCCCCGGCTCGGCCTATACCAACCTGGCATCTTCCATTCACTACCCCACTCTCGTTAGTTCTCACAAAACCTGATGCTGAACACTGCCTCAATGTACTGCCACCACTCCCATGACTAACAATTTCTGGGGAGACTGAATCCCGCCTCTGAGGGCTAGATAATTGCCGTTTCTCTGGACTATCTTGCTTCAACTCTGCTCCATCAAGCTCTATTTTCCTCTTTAGGCGTCTTTCACCAGATTCAGACCTGCAAAGCTCACCATCTTCACGAGATGCTCTTTCAGCATGAGGCTGGCTCGTGAGCCTCGGTGGTCGGATACGTTTATAACCCTCTGGGAACACATAAGAAGGGATATGCTTCCTATGAACATGAGAAACATATATTTCCATCCCAGGTTTCCAGAACAAATACATATTTATCTGATGCCTAAACTCATCGACCGTCCCACGTATGTCAAACTGCTGACCTTCTTGAATTATCTCTCCTTGTTTCCTCTGCAAACCCATAAAAAAGGCACAATGGGAACAATGCTTCAAATTATCGACATAATCATGGGGATAAGGATGGCACTGCAACTTCCCATATGTATCCCGCTCTATCTGCAAAAATCAAAACGGAAAGCGTATATCAGAATAGAGGAAATTTTGCTTCATACTTCATCTCGGAAAAATCCATACGGACAGACTTGCAGGTTAACAACACCATTACAAGTCAAAGTATAGATACTACCATCAGTGTCAGCTGCCTTAGCCGGGATTCAACCCAGCCTTTCCAAGCACGCAAGTCATCAGCATCAGCTGCAATTATGTCAACCTGCAGATAGTTCTTATAGCTTTCAAAGAACATATATGGCTCAAACAAATCGCTCCACTGGGCTTTATTCAGTTCAATCTCCTATATGTGGACAAGAACAACAGTAGAGGGAATTAGACTGTAGCCATAATACAATACCAGAAGGAAGGAAACTCTGAATTTCCTTACCTCACAGATCTTGTTTCCGAACTGGAACTGCTCCATCATAACTCGGAGCGTACTTGTTGACACATTGTAGCTAGAATTCATGCAAGGATAGGCAGGTGTTATAATTGGCATATGATGAGTTCGGTCCCGAGGATTCCTACGAGGATCCCATACGGAAAATCCTAGTTCATCCTCGTCTATTGCACAAAGCATCACTGGATTTGGCCATCGCCACTGTGTATAAACCCTAAAAAATCGAGAAACCAGCATACTGGGAACTGCATTGGGATAAAGCTGACACACGCGAGCTACAAGGAGAGCCCAGTTCACACCGCCAAGAAATCCAGTTACCTGAGGAAAAAAAACAGTGCTCCCAAAAGGCATGGACAAATATTGAGAACAAAAAAAATAAAGCAAGAACCGAAAAACAGAAATAAGCTGTTGTACAAGGCCAACTCACATTTGAATAGACGCCACGCCTTTTAGCCCAAAACTTTAAACATCGGAGTGTCATTTGGAAATGCTATAATTTATGAAGACAAATTTGGACATTAGAAAGCAGAAGAGACCAAACAAATAAATACATTCAAGAGCATAAAAGATCACTAAAAGACCATGGTGCATTTAAAATAATCACCTCAAAGTTTGGAACAAGCTTAAGAATTTGATCTGCCACCCTGCATCCATTAAGACTCCGAACAGTTGGCTCATCAACATCATACAATACGGACACATGGGAGATATCCAAGTCCTGTGGAAAAGCCAGTGACCACGTGGAACTATGAGAAAAATGTAATACTTGAAAACTGTATGTGCTGCAACAGATGATGAAGCCAATGTGAACAATAGCATATGAGTGAACATGGTCACAAAGAATTAACCGATGGGTGCTACCACAACATGACAAGTTTGAATTGATGCCACAAACATCAAATTGAACTAGAGGCATTAGAAGTTAAGAGCCAAGTGCTTTTATCTTGTGGTGGTAGCTCAATTAATTTTGGTATCGTATAGGCTCATACTGTGCTAGTACAAAATTCATTCCCATTTCAACTCAGGCATAAGCATACTGTCTAACCGACAATGAAAATTATAGATAAGATGAAACAAGATTTGTTCTTCCCCATGCGCACATCTGAAAACATATATTTAGATTCAAATCATAGTTCAAGTGAGCTGAGATTTTACGAAAAAAGAAAGCAAATGTTGATCTTCTTGTTTTCTGCCTTTTTTTTTTTTCCTTTTTGTTGTATCAAGGAGGACAAAGAAGTTGCAAACCCCAGCCTAGACCCCCCCAGGACTGTACTACCTCATGGAGTAAAAGCCAGGTATAACAAATAAGAAACAAGAAACAATTTAGTATTAAGAAATACTATATAGAGTTATATAATCAATGTAAACATTACATTTCAAATTCTGAACTAACAAACAAAAGACAGAATGAAACGAAGAAAGTAAAACTACAGATAATGAATTTTGAAAGGGTCATGACTTTGCCCCCATCAAAAAGCACCCTGACTAGAGCTGCCAGCGCGAAATGATCTTTAAATTATCAATTAATACTATTTAATTAACACTTACATCTGGGACAACCAAAAGAGAAATACTTGCATAAAGGAGATCTATTGAAATTCCATCAAACTTGAATTTCATAACTGGGACATGAGCATCTGGAACAGGTTGAAGTTCAGTAATTTCATCCATCTTTGCCAATATATCATGCAGTATGAAGAAAAAGTCTTCCTGATAATGAGAGTCCACTGTTAGCCGCAGATGCAAATCAAAAACTATAACATAACATCTTAACACATAAATTACCTCCCGATTCACATATGATGGCCCAACACATAAGGTGTCTATGTCAGCTCCAGGACCATGTACCTAGCAAAATAATAAGCTTATAGTGATGAAGAAAATATAATGATGAGACTCCAAACATCAAGTCAAAAATGGTCATAGAAAGTAAAAAAATTGCATGGCCAATGCCATGAGGTGAAGAAAAAAATAATATTCATATCGAAATAATGGAAAATATAGCATTCGAAGTTTACCATCAAGTGAAGAAGCAAAGCAAAATCTCGAAATAATGAAAAATAGAGAGCATATTGAGTTTACAATCGCATTAAGAAGTAAAGCAAAAAGAACAATAAAAAAGGTGCAAGGACAAGGTAAATATTAAAACAGTAAACCCATTTAATAGGGCATAGGCTTCATTCATACTGCAAGGAATATTACTTTAGGTAATAAAATAGGAGAATTGACTTACTTAAGTAATATAGATACTCTGGATGGGTGCTAAAAGAGTTGATATAGATGGAGGAAGACGATTCAGAACTACAGGACTAACATGTAGCTGAGAGCTAGAAGGGTAGACAAGTAGGAGGAAGAGATTTTGAACCACAAAACTTTGTACTAGATCACAATTACATCAGAAGAAGCAGAGCAACATACATTTAGGTTCACACCACCGCACACGCTAGAAACATAACAATCTAATCAAATTCCCAATACAAAATTGAAACCCTAGGTCAACGACCCCTAATCAGTTGTAATCACTAAGACCCAGATGGAATACATTATTTAACTTGATTGATGAGTCTTGGATTTGCCCATCTAAAACAAATGTTGCAGATTAAGTATTGGAGTTTTGGAAGGAAAACAGAAGCTAAAGTACTATGACATTGTGTGTTTATAGCAACTCTTTGGTGTATTTGAATGGAGAGAAATGCTAGAATAAATACAAATTGTTCTCTTTCTTCTGAGTAAGTGTGAGAACGATTGGTTTTTTATGACTTCACTTTGGACCACATCTACAAGAAGTTTTAGAGGGTTGCCTTTGCCAAAAGGGCGCCTTTATTTTACCTTTATTTTCTCCTTTTGGGGGTATTTTTCCTATGTTTTTTCTTTACTCATTTCCTAATCCATTTATCCAACAAACAACATATAATAGCATTTAAAAAAAAAAAAAGAAACCAAAGAGGATTTTCAAACTACATGCCGCCATATAAAACTCACAGGAGCAAAATGGCCAAAAACTTAGATGAACAAAAGAAGAAAATATATTTACAGATTGAGAGTTCTGACAAAAATGGAAGATTCAAACTTGAGACAGGTTATACTGAAGCAACAACTAAACGAAGAGAAAAAAGTTGGCAAACTGATTCTAAAACACAAACCATTAAACTCATTTTTGTCTTTTTCGTGCCAAATACAACTCCTGCCAAACTTCTAATGCCATCCACCAACCATTAAACAATTTACCTCCTGCCTAATCACCCTCTAGTCTGCCCATCATAGTGTAGTTAATCATCCTCCAACCCAACCAAGGAGTAGTGGAGTACACTTCATAGAACAGATAAATATTCTCTATGATGCTAAAGAGAAAGATAGAACCTCTAATACAGGCTGAATCCTAGGCATGCCAATTACTTGAGCAAATTTTCCAGAAACCATGCCACTCATTGAGAATTGCACCCGGGGGGGCCAACAAAAAAGGCACCCAACAGGTGCACTAAAGATTAGACATGGCTATGGCCATCAGCCTATTGCACAGAATGCTATTCTCTAGACTCTATTGTCCAAAAATAAAAAACCAGTATGTCATGGACACCAGAAATACAAACAATAGGGGAGACCTAACTCATATACTAAAACCTATGAAGCACGGATACGAACACGGGGATACAGAAAAGTTCAAAAATATAGGATACGGATACGGTAAGGGTATGGCTAATTAAAATAATATATATTTTTTAGATAATAAAAGAAATATAATATATTCGAAACAAAGCATACTTTATAACAATATTAATAATAAGACCTAACAAATATTAATTTTTTTGATTAAAATTGAAATAGATCAAAATAAACATCCACCATTATCATCAAACATCCATCAACATTCATAATATATAAGTTACATAACAATAAACACAAAAATAAATAAAGAAATCACACTCCTATTAGTAGTTAACAATAAAATCCTGGTCGTGTCCTTGCCGACTGAGTCCACAATTCAGGATATTTCTAGCTGTGTCCGACGCATTTTCGACACTGCCACGACACCCTTCAGGAAGTATTAGTGCTTCCTAGACCAAAACAGAGTATGGCAGCTCCTTTTTTCTTTAGCATTCTGGAGATGTGAAGTTCAATTGTGCAGAATGTTAAAATTGTTTAATAATTATCAATATACACACATTTTTCAAACAATTGCTTTAAAACATGCATGGCATTTCATCCAATCTCCAGTCAGTATCATATTGAACCTTGTACTACTACATAAGGTATTATACTTGTATTTGGAATTAGAAATCAATTTTACCAAATAGCAAGCTCATTCAATTGAAACAAAAATGGGGGTGTGAGGGAAAGCACCGGTGCAGTAAAGAGAAATGACAAAATAAAAGTTGCTTACTCCAAGTCGATAAGAACCAAAAGTAAACAAAACAGCATTGGCATCCTCCACCATTTGGTCTGTGTACCCTCTCAAGCGAGTAAGCTCCTTCACCCAATCTTTCACAATCTAAAATACAATGAAACAAAGTTACCAAAAGCTCAAAATGAACCAAAAACAGAGAATAATGAATCACAAAACCAGAAAATGACTGGATTGAATAACAAATTCATTCAAAAAAAAATAAGTATCATATTAGAGGCAAAATTCAAGGGTGTGAAGAATACGTATGTGACGTACACAGCTCAAACAATCAAAAATTATGTCACACATCGAAAGAAAATATTCCACTTTTAATATTCTAGTATACCCATACCCATTTAACGCTATGATTTGATTCTCATCTTCTGTTTTGGAGCTTTCCTTTCCCATCTCTTTCTCTCATTCGACCCAACCGTCACCATGGAGCCGATTCGGGGGAGGATTCAGTCATTTCACTTTCTTTAACAAGTGAACCCACTAAACACACTAAGGTTGAGTTAATTTAACCTTTTTAGTACATCCCTGTGCAAATGCATCGCTGGAGAAACTTAGGCCAAAAGTCATGAAAACGGTTCAATTGGATTAGTGCTTTTCTCCATCTTCTTATTTTGTTTAACGAACCACAATTTCAAACCTCACTTAGAATCAGTATGTTATTTTCTCCAATCAACATCATCTGATTATTAGGTTACAGGACTTTCATTCGGTTTCTAAATGATAGGGCCATGATATATTTCTTTCTTCTGTTCTCAGGTCATTCTTCCCTCTTTCTCAGATCTAAGCTGTTAACTTGTAGTATTGAATTTCATCTGATTACCATGTCAGTTACAACTCAACTCATCCAGATTAGTCAATGATTTGAAATGGTACCAACACCAAAATTACCATTTCTTCTTTTTCGTTTGATTCTTAGGTTGCAGGACTTTCATTCAGTTTCTAAATGATAGGGCCATGATATATTTCTAACTTCTGTTCTCAGGTCATTCTTCCCTCTTTCTAAGAACTAGGTTGTCAATATGTTGTATTGAGTTTCATCAGGTTAGCATGTCAGTTACAACTCAACTCAATCTGATTAGTCAATGATTTGAAATGGGACCAACACCAAAATTACCATTTCTTCTATTTAGTTAAACAATGTTTTGTATGACCATTTCATTCACAAGCCAAAATTGTGATTTCAATATTTGTACAACTTGCATTTGGGTTAAGACAAAGCCCATCTTGCCATTACACAGGCATGATACATGATACAGCTGCCTGCCGAACACAACACAACGGCCATCCCGCTGTATAACAATATGGTCAAAGGGCAGGAAATGTTGATCAACAACACAACGGCCATCCCGCCGCCTAAGATACTTTAAAAATAAGTTGAATTTCAGATAAGTTTAGAAAAAGTTGGCGATACACTGACATGACATTGATAAACGTTTAGGATATGGCAAGACGACGTTTTGGTTACATCAGAGTACTTTGGGACTAAATACATCATTTTTGTTCTTTAAAATAGGTTGTTGAATAAGGGAGTTCATCAAAGAAAAAAATGTAATTTCAACCTCGCAATGGTTGCCTTATCCAGTATGTTCTTTAGTTAACCAGACCCTCTTATAAAATGTCCCAACTCACTCACATATTTAATATTTTACCGATCTATAAGTGAAAGTAAGAGACCGACTTGAATATCTTTATTTTATTTGGTTGTAAATATAAAATTCTAGATGGTTAGTACATTCGAATACCTGAACGATGAAAATTTTATCATCAGTTTTTGGTCAATTAAGATTAATGGAGTTGTTTAATGTAACAACTTTTAGGTTCACTTCACAAAGTTTAATGTCCATTATTTTTCTAGAATTGCTTACAGTTATGCTTGCATTCCAAAATCGCATCTCTGTGTCATTTAGGTTACCAGAAAATTCCAAGTTCCTACAATACCTGGTTCCTTCCCTAACCTTGAAACTCTAAAATCTAAAGACCATGTCTTCTGAGGATCACAATATACCAACTACCCAACTGCTCTACATATACAAATATGGCCATGCTGATATGCGTAAGTGATGTAGGGATAAGAAAAATAAAGTAGACCCCACAAGGTGTTTCTTCAATGCAGGCCTTATATATGTGTATAAACACAAAACAAATGTATATTGAGCGCATAATCAGGATAAACTGATCGAAAACTTCTCAATTCCTAAGTTAATGTCATGATATAGTCTATGTACTATTGGTAAATCAATTTGACCCAAGGCGAGCCAATTTCAATCTAAATTAACAAACCTTAGTTTGGGAGTTAAGACTCTAAATTCAGTACAATAAATAGATGCAAGAAAAAATGGAAACTACTGAGAAGTTCCAAAAATCAGGTACCTGCTTAATACGACCAAAGACATCTTCCCTCTTGGAAACTTCATCCGGGCTTTCATATAGCCCAGCGTCTGACAAACACTAGGGTACACAAAAACAAATCTCAGAATAAACATAAACATTAGGACAAACAACCAAAATTTTCAAACAATGTACCGATAAACATACCTTCTCCAACTTCCTGCTTCTTTGAATATCAGCCTCCGTAGGCCCCGCAAGAGATATCGGCTTGGTGACTCCGTATTGCTTTGGCTTCAGCGCCGGCGGTTGCTGACGAAATGGAGAATCGCACAAACTCTCTGATTCCACCATAATCAACAGTAGAAGAACCCCAAGACTAACCCTATATCAAACAAATCAGTCGACACGCGCATACACAGAAAATCAAACTCAATAACGATTAGCTTAATGGAATGAAACCCAAAACCCTAATGCAAGAAGAATGATCGTTCGACTCAGGCTAAATCAGACCAAAAAGGAATCGAAATTTGTATGCGAAATTCAAACAGGATCAACAACAGAAACCCTAGATCGCAGTAGATAACCACATTCACCACCGTCCGAACAAGGATAATTGAGTTGATCAATTATTGAAACGCCAGAAAACGGGCGGTAGATCCAACAAAGCGCGAAGACGAAGACAACTGAACCCTAAAGATGCGATTGCAGACGCGCGCGCACACACAAAAACCACGGACACACGGAGAGGGGCAAGAGAGCGTTTGGGGGACAGCAGATCAGTTGGTTGTGGAGGAGAGAGAGAGACAGAGGGGGGGGGGGTTTGACACGAAGGAGCTCGATCACATCTGGTTGGCGGTTGGGGATGATGGAGTGTTTTTTTTTTTTGGCTTTGTGGGCAATGGGGATGATGGAGTTGGAGAATGGAAGAGAGAGAGACAGAGAGGGATATTTAATAAACGCACCGCACCGTTTGGGAGCGGTGTTACTAAAAAAACGATATTCGTACTTGGAACATCCTTATCCTTTTAGGATTTGGAATTTTGGAGTAACGTCACTAGCAAGGAAGCTAGCTGTTCATGGCGCCAGTGGCCACGCGGCATTTTTGGGAAAATAGCACATTGCATCCCTAAAGATTCCAAAATT